TTTGGACCACTCCTCTTCACAAAACTGTTTCAGTGTAGTAATATTCTTGGGATGTTTGGTGTGAATCACTCTCTTAAGGTCATGCCACAGCATTTCAATCGGGTTGAGGTCAGGACTCTGACTGGGCCACTCCAGAAGGCGTATTCTGTGCTGTTGAAGCCATTTTTTTGTTGAATTATTTGTATGCTTTGGATCATTGTCCTATTGCATCACCCATCCTCTGCGGAGCTTCAGTTGGTGGACAGATGGTCGTATGTTTTCCTGCAAAATGTCTTGATAAACTCTGGAATTCATTTTCCCATCAATGACAACAATCCGTCCAGGCCCTGAGGCAGCAAAGCAGCCCCAAACCATGATGCTCCCTCCGCCATGTTCTACAGTGGGGATGAGATTTTGATGTTGGTGTGCTGTGCCTTTTTTCCTCCACACATAGTGTTGTGTGTTCTTCCCAAACAACTCAATTTTGGTTTCATCTGTCCACAGTATATTTTGCTAGTAGTGCTGTGGAACATCTAGGTGCTCTTTTGCAAACTTCAAATGTGCTGCAATATTTTTTTTGGACAGCAATGGCTTCCTCCGTGGTGTCCTCCAATGTACTCCATTCTTGTTTAATGTTTTCTTTATTATAGATGTGTCAACAAAAATGTTAGCATGTGTCAGAGATTTCTGTAGGTCTCTAGTTGACACTCTAAGATTCTTCTTTACCTCATGAAGCATTCTGCGCTGTGCTCTTGCAGTCATTTTTACAGGACGACCACGCCTAGGGAGAGTAGCAACAGTGCTAAACTTTCTCCATTTGTAGACAGTTTGTCTTACCGTGGACACATGAACATCAAGGCTTTTGGAGATACTTTTGTAACCCTTTCCAGCTTCATGCAAGTCAACAATTCTTGATCGTAGGTCTTCTGAGAGCTCTTTTCTGCGAGGCATGGTTCACATCAGACAGTGCTTCTTGAAACCAGTAAACCCCAAACAGGTGTGTGTTTTTAAAGGGCAGGACAGTTGTCAGCAACACATCCAATATCATCACACTGATTGGAGTCAAGGTTGGCTCATTCCTGGCTCCAATTAGCTCTTGGAGAAGTCATTAGGCTAGGGGCTTACATACTTTTTCCTCCCTGCACTGTGAATGTTTACATGTTATGTTCAATTAAACCATGGCAACATCTAATGTTTGTGTAGTATTATTTTAAGCAGACTGTGTTTTTCTATTGTTGTGACTTAGATGAAGTTCAGAGCACATTTTATGACCAATTCATGCAAAACTCCACGTAATCCCAAGGGGTTCACATACTTTTTCTTGCAACTGTATATACGTATATACACATACAGAGATGTTCACAAAAAGAGATGTTCACACAAAGGTTAAAGCCTAATTTGTGTACTAATCTGGAATGTTAACATGCTGTTTGTTTTGGTTTAATCATTGGTATTCCCTAGTTAGGAAAATTTAATGACATTTTTTTGAAACTAAAATGCTATCTGAGAACATGTGAAAATAAAGCTCACGTTTTAGGATATCGAGATCCTGTAATTATGATATTTGAAATTGCTGTTTTCTTATGCTTTACAGTGCCTGGGTGGAGTTTTTCAGAATAAACAGTGGTATTGTTTTCCCCCCTCTAATTTCAGAAACCCCAATGTTGCATTGAAACATTTTGCTACATTGTTTTTCAGAGGAAGTTGACTGGATACTGAAACAATTGCTTTCTCTAGTTTGTGTGTGTGTGTGTGTGGTTTGATTCTATATGTCATTAGAAAACATTTTTGGATGTTGCAACATGTTTCTGGAGAAGGAGGATTAACAGTTTCTAAATTTGTTACTAGGTTTTCTTCAATATTTTAGAAACAGTATTTCATGCAATACTGTTGTTTGTAAAACAGCAACAAAGTCCAAAGCATATCAAGTGGCTCCTTATCAAAATTCAAATATAAATTTTGAAACTATATTCAGGTTTTTGTTAGTTAGAAAGTGTAAGCCTTTGATTCTTATAGTCTCCTGGTTTGACAAAGTGTGAGGATTCTTCCCAAAGAACCCCAGATGTCGCATTGAAATGTCCATATATATTTCCCTGTTTGATTTTCTAGTACTGGTATGCACATAAATACATTCATTGAATGGAGTTTTTTCCCCCACCCTTAACATCAAACAAATGTGCCACTGGCCACATTAGTAGCTGGACATGGTTTTTTTGCCTTAATCCAGCCACATGATGAGCACAAATGCTACGTGGAGTTGTCATTTGCTGTTTGTTAACAGATTGTTGGAAACCACCTAGCCTGGTGCAGGGGTTCACATTCTGGAGTACATTGCTTTGATTGGGAATGTTTATTTACTTTCCTTCATGGGAGTGGATTTCCACTTATTTTCCAATGCATCATATTTAGTGTGATCTCTTGTGTATGACCAAAGGTGCTTTTTCGAGTGGCAACTGGACTTTCTTGGTGTTTTTCTTTTTTTAAAATGTTTTGCTTCTCATCCAAGAAGTTTCTTCAGTTCCATAGACTTTTATGTAATGACCTTTGGCAATTTTTCTAGCTCTAACTCACAACAATTGAACATACAGAGATTTAAACCTAGCTCTTAGTATATATCCTCTTAGGTCTCCAATGTTTTTTTTTTTAAAAAAAACAGTATAAAACAGTTTTTAAACTGATGAAGAAGTAGCTCTTAAATTTTGTATTTGTTTTTTTCAGAGGTACCAAAAAACCCAACATTCTTTGGTGAGGAATGGATTGTAGAAAGAAAACTGTAATATGATCAGGTCTATTTTGAATCATAATTGACTAGAATCACACATCATAATTATAATTCATTTTTACATGGCAAATTTTGGAAATTGCCATTGTATACTGGCATTAGACACATGTTCAACACTTTCAACTAGAGATGTTTGTTCTATCAGCCAGCTGTGAAAGCAGATTAAAAAGAAAGGATTAAACTCTGAGTTTGATAGAAGTGTAGTCAAAAAATAGAATATATGTATCTCAGGGTTTAACTATGGAGTCCTTGGTGTTCTCTGAGCCTGATGTTTGCATGCAGACATTCTATTACTTGACTAGGTAATATCATCAGTGCTGCAAACCAAGGACTCCCCAGTCACAAGATATCCAATTTGAATACCTATAGGTTTTGGAAAAAACTTGGTGGTGGTATAACTGTTCTGAAAGACAGTTGATGGATCAGTTAATTGGACAAGAACAAATGTTCCACCTATGTTCAAAAAGTGGAAATGTATTTTTATAGATTTTGGAATGTTGTCATTCCAGATTTAATCAAAGCATGATACTCAAAGGATTTTAGCATTATGGATCTAGGTGACTTTTGAACTTGAGCTACCAAAGTGATGCAACTGCTGTGCACGCCCCACAACTCATAGCAAATGTACTCTTAGAAATAATAGAAATAAAGCAGCAAAGAGCAAGATAAGTCATTTTTTTCTTTCTGTTCTGCATTGATCAAATTGAACATAGAACATTGTGTCCAATAATAGGCTCCAGATTTTAGAAAGGACATCAACAAAATAGAGCTTGGCCAGCAATTAACATAAGAGGTCTGGAAGGAAAAACTATAAGGAATGGGTAGAGAGTATTAGCTATGATTAGCTTACAGAAGTCTATGTGTGGCATAATGCCTGTCCTCAGATATCTGTCAAGTTGTCATGAAGAAGACCGGAACAGAAATAGTGGTGTTAAATAAAAAGGAAATATATTTTGGTTGAATATAAAAAAAAAATAATCCTAAGAATAATGGCTCTTCAACAGTGGTATGGAATTACTCGGGAGATGGTGGAGGCTTCTCTGCTGCAGGTTTTTAAACAGAAGCTGGATAGCCATCTGTTGAGGATGGAATAATAATGGATAAGCAGGTGGCTAGTCCAAATTACATTTTAAGATTCTTTCCAGTGCTTGTTATTATTTACAGGTAATTCTTGCTTAACAATGATAATTGAGATTGGCATTTTTTGTTGCTAAGTGATATAGTCATAAATGCAATCCTGGCAGTCCCTGTAATTAAGCAGGGATGCTGCTACAGCCAGAACTTTGAGGCCTGGGTGTAAGTACCATTCGTTCAGCATCATTGCATCTTCAAACAGTCATTGGACAAGTAGTTAAGGACTACCCGCAACTGAATATCCCATTATATTTAAATTATCATGCCACTTCTAGATTGAAAGACATGTTTACATACAGTTCATGCAAAAGATTAAGTGCCCCCAATCAAATTATATATTTCGCTAAATCAACAGAACCACTATATGGTGCAAAGTTAAATACAGCATCCTTCTCTGTCTGAGTATATATTTTCTATTTATGTGCAGTTGTTTACACCTTCAAAATTAACAAAAATGAAAAGTGGTAAAAAATGATAGAAGTTCAATGTTTTGCCACCCAAAGAAAAACCAGTTGTTAACCTATTGCACAGTGGGAAAATAAACCACCAATATCTGTAAGCCCTTTATTAATTCTAAATTAAGAAGTAGGCAGGGAATAGAATAGTGCACCACTATAGCATAGTACATCAACTTCATTAAATGCATGCACACTTATGTAGAGAACACTTAGCTATATAATATTAAGTAGAGAGAGAAACATTTTGTCATTCTGCAATTTAGAATCGCAAGTGGTTCTTATATCAAATGGGTAGCAGAAGAGGGGAGTAATGTCTTCTGTCTGTAAATTGGGCTTGCTGGGAAATGAAATTAGGTGTCTGCATAATAAAGATGAAAAATTCTGAAATAATGTGTTGTATTGAATTTCTCACCTGAGAATCCACAGAAAGTCTGGTCTGCACATGACAGTAAATTGTAATGTTGCATCCATACTTTATACAAAATCAAAACCAACCAGCCACATGATGGCTTAATAAGATAAGTGAACTGAAACTGATTTTTTTACTCAATCTCTTTGATTTAATAGATTCTTGAATCTTCTTTTGGATAGTGTTAATATTTATGAAGGATCTGGTATTCCAATTCTTGTAATGTTGTTTTTGATAGTCCAGGTTTCAGCTGTGGAGGTATACACGCCGACAGACTTTTCTGTGGAGAATGGGACTGAGGCAAAGCTTCCATGCACTTTTACTTCCACAGAAGTGATCAGCAGTTCAGCTTCTGTTGCCTGGAGTTTCCAAGGCGAGGGATCATCATCTCCTATCTCGGTAAGATATGGTTTACAAAAGAAAATCATAAGAAGTAAAAAGCCCTGCCTAATCTTGCATTGCTCTCTGTAAAAGCCTGATTGTTCCCTTGAAATGTTGGTTAAGATATTAATTGTATTTTCACCAAACATGGTTGTCATCAAAAACCTTGCTTACATGAGGAAATGCTTTAACCCACTTCACATGCTTGGTTAGATATCTTTTTATCTTAACATGATTGGGAAAAAAAATAAACTGGTACCAGAATGAAATCATGTAATAGTAATTGTATTAGTAATAGTTATCAGTTCATTATTTTGAGAAAAGTAAAACAATTGAGGAAAGTCAGGCAGAGCAAGATACCTGAGCTCCTGAAATTTGTCTAAAACTTTAAAAACTCTTTTGATATTATGTGTTAAATGTTTCTCTGACCCTTCAACTAATTTAAAACCAGTTTTTCAGGCTCTCAAGTAGACTATTATTTATGTATTGTATGAGTTGAATTTTGAAGAAATTTAGCAGATTTCCAATAGGTGGAAAGCAAGTTTTTAATACAGCATAATTTTTATATTTTTGATTATAGTTCTTCTATTATTCCAATGGAAAAGCATATCCTGGAAAGAGTACACAATTTGATGACAGAAGCACCTGGGCTGGAGACCTTAACAGGAAAGATGCATCAATCACTATAGCAAACATGCAATTTCAGGACAATGGAACCTATATCTGTGATGTTAAAAACCCTCCAGATATAGTTGTTACACCAGGAAAAATCAAAGTCAGGGTTATGGAGAAAGGTACAGTAATAAGTGGATGGAATGAAAGATTAATTAATGAGTGATGGAGAGATTCTGCATAAATTGCTTTCTTTCTCTAAAATTACTTTATGTAACAATGCGCTGAAGCAAGTACTTGTTTGGCTATACTGCATTTTATTCCATTATTTTATTTTGACAGTGGAATAGAAATTTTACCAGCATTTTATTGTATTAAATGTCATGGAATAACTTAAAATGAGTTAATGGCAAAAGCCAAAATTCTGTATTCATCTGTGATTTTTGGAATAAATTACAAATAAACTTTCAGCTCCCAACATAGTTTAATAATTTACATTTAAAGAAGTACAAAATGGTCTTTTCAAAAGCTAGATTAAATGTGTTGCCATCAAAGATTCCAATTTCTCAAAGTTTTTGTCCTGTAATACAATGGTGGGATTCAAATTTTTTTACTACCGGTTTTGTGGGCGTTGCTTGGTGGGCATGACATGGCTTGGTGGGCATGGCAGGGGAAGGATACTGTAAAATCTCCATTCCCACCCCACTCCAGGGGAAGGATACTGTAAAATCTCCATTCCCTCCCACTCTAGGGGAAGGTTACTGCAAAACCCCGATTTCCTCCCAATCAGCTGGGACTCGGGAGGCAGAGAATAGATGGAGGCGGGGCCAGTCAGAGGTGGTATTTACTGGTTCTCCGAACTACTCAAAATTTCTGCTACCGGTTCTCCAGAACTGGTCAGGACCTGCTGAATACCACCTCTACTGTAATAGTATTGGCTATTGTATTGTGATTTTTGAAAGAGTTTTTGGCAGTATATTTATCTGGTTTATTTTAAAATCAAGACCAGTAAAAGGTGCGTGTGAACATGTTAACATTTCACCTAGAAAAATCCTAAACTTAGATTAGCAATAGCCAACTTTTTAGCTATGGCCTTAAATACAAGGTCTTTAGTAACATATCAATAAGATTGAGTTTGTTTGATGTAATACTTATAAATGATTTGTTAAACTGTTTTATTTAATGCCATAAATAATTTTAGATTATGCTTGTACTTTGCTATTTGGATCTTTGGGGCATAAATAAAGCTATATATAAATTTACCAAGAAAAATCAACAAACTTCAAAGGTTCTAATCAGTGCTTCCCAAACCTAGGGAAATTACCCAAAATCGGTAAAAAAAATTTCTTTGGGTAATGGCATATAAACCTATTGTCCAACACAAGGACATTTAAATTCAGTTAAATATTGCCTAAAATATATATGAAGTTCTCCTAAAGTATTCCTATTAAGACAATCAATGAAATTACCAATGGTAATTTGTTGAAATGATGTAAATATCATTAAGTGATACCGTTTTCATAGTATAAATAGTCCCCGAGTTGTGAGTATTCATTCAGTGCCCACTGATTGCAGGGATTTATGTCCAGTCCTTGAAGCGTGATAAGACTCTCTGATAAGCGGTTTGGGTAATGAAGGAAAAACCATGGGAAGCACTGATCTAAATATTGCTTTATCTAAGAGAAGAGTCACTGGATGGAGTGAGAGATTCTTTATGTGGAGAGTCCTAAAGTATAGTTAATCTTATATAGAAAAAAAATATATTCATAAAAAAGATACATTTTCAACTGTGAGGAGTATGAAGTTCTTATTGCTTCATGCTGTTCTCTGGCATATCTAAAATTGTTTCCTGGTATATCTAGCTATCTGCCAAGCTCAGGTTAGCTAGCAAGGGGCAAATTGTCAGTTTGAAAATTTCATTCCTAAGCACTAAGTCTAAACATTCTATTACAAAAATTAATTGTTTTCCTGCAAATGTGAGACACTTATTTTGTCCATTTAAAGAGCTAGTGAGTAACAAAATATAAAATATACCCTTTTCTGACAAAAGTCCACTGAGCCCTCCCTTCAAAAGTTGCATTCTCTAGGATAGTCTCTTGCCATTTGGTGTCTTCCAGTTAAGTTGGGTTGCCATTTCCACCATCAGCCAAGACTGCACGCACTTTTGAGAAAAGAATCCCATTATGGAGCAATATTAAAATATTTTTCTGTGCAAATAAGGTTCAGAAACAAAAAGTAACACAGCATTTGTAGCAGTTTTGAGAGACAACAGTGGGATGCTGTGATAGCATTTAGATTTATTTCAGATAGTGAAAGAAGACAAAAAAGGATTGGGCATCCTTAACATGATATAAATTGATAAGTAAGACACATAGTAATACAATGATAAGTGCATTCAAATACATCTTGGACTTTTAAAAGTGGATTTTAATAAATTCAGAGAATGAAAAAGATAAGACTGAGTTTATGAATGATAGGAAATCTCTATAACTTCCCAAGACCAAATGAATTGCACTTGGTATATTAAAGGAATATCTTCTGATGGCCAAACCTTAAAGCATTCTTAAGAAATTCTGGACAATGGGCAACGTGCTAGCTACTGGGAAAACAAATACTCTACCTTAAAATGGGAAGGGGGGGAGAAGTAATCTAGAGAATATAGACAAGTCATTCTCTCATGAAAAAAATGGAAAGAGTCTAGACCAGGTTCCTAATGTGCTGTCCCGTTCACATACACATACATACATACCCCAGTGTTAGGAGTCTTTATTAAGGTTTCTATGCCTGAGTTACCGTATTTTTCGGACTATAAGACACTCCAGACTATAAGACACACCTAGCTTTTGGGGAGGGAAACAAGAAAAAATAACCTGCCACTGCCTCCCAGTAATTTGCCTCCTTGCAGCAAACAGCAAACAGCCTGGTCAGTTTCAGCACAGCCTGATTTAGCACGAGCAGCTGATTGGCGGTTGGATCTGCCTCCCAGAATACCACTGATCACTGTTCCAGGCTGCGGGGATCGGTGCCACCCATTGGCTCCGCCTATCACCTTCTCCACGTGCCCCACTTTCGACCTCTGCATGTCCCATTTTTGGCCTCCGTGCACCCCATTTTTTGCCTCGGCAGATCCCATTTTTGGCCTGTTCCAGGCAGCAAAGATTGCCGCCACCGCTGCCTATCCCCGCTGCCTGGAACGGGCTGAAAATGGGATGCGCGGAGGCCAAAAATGGGGCACGTGGAGGCCGGAAATGGGGCGTGTAGAGGCGGCGATAGGTGGCAGTGGTGATGGACGGCGCCAATGGACGGCAGCGATCCCTGCAGCCTGGAACAGCTGATCAGTGGTATTCTGGAAGGCAGATCCAACTGCCAATCAGCTGCTCGTGCTAAATCAGCCTGTGCTGCAGCTGACCAGACTGTTGTTTGCTGCAAGGAGGCAGATTGCTGGAAGGCAGAGGCTGAAGGGTGAAGGCTGACAGGTAGGTGGGACTTCGGCAACATTCGCTCTATAAGATGCACAGACACTTTGGAGGGGGGAAGTGCGTCTTATAGTCCGAAAAATATGGTAGTATTGCCCAGCAATTTCATGTTTCAGCATCAGCTCACTCCCAATGAATTCAGGCTACTCAAAAGAAGCCAGCACTAGTCCACCAGGCAAAGGCAAGTCCCCAAGGCAAAGGCAAGACAAGTACACAGGGCAAAGGTAAATCCATATGGCAAAGACAAGGCCACAACTGCAACTTCCACAGTTGAAGAAGCAAGATCCAAAGTTTAAGACAAGAACACACAACAGGGAAATGGACACATTCCCAGCATCATTTCACTTCCCTTGCTGAACTAAACTGCTTCCTGGTGCAGCCCATAAAGAGGGACGAGGCTGCCTCCTCGCAAGTAGCCTGGCTGATCTTCTTTGTGCCTGCCTCCTCTCAGCCCTACATGCTCTTGGATCTGGAGGAGGAAGCAGGTCTTCATCTCCACTGACAGCTGCAGATGTGTGCCCTCTCCATTCAAAATCTCTGGGCTTCCCAGCTGCACTTGTGTCCTGTCTCTAGCTAACCCAGCCGCTTGTCTGGTTGCTCCCCTGTGCTCAGCCCCTCTGCTCCTGGCTTGCAGCCCTCATCTGCCTCCCCTCCTGACATGCCTGGGACCAGCTCATCATCCTCCAAACCAGCATCTGGAGGAGTCATCATACCTAAAGAGATTGTTTTCTAGGTGCTATAAGATTGGTCTGGTAATTGCCAGAAGGCCACATGAATGGTAACATGAATTTGTCAAGCCCCGATGGGCTTTGCGAAAACCCAGCCAGATAAACTGCTGCCGGGGGGTCTTCAGACTGGAACTGTCTTGGAGGGATGGAGGAGAGAGAGAGGTGTCTCGAAAGACCAAAGAGGAGCAGGCAAACTCCTCGGAAGGTCGGAGACAACTCTTTGACCCGATGGTGGGAGAGGTGGCCATTATGTCCGCTACAAGGTGGGGCAACCAGATTAAGATGTGAGCAAGAGTGGAGAATGAACAAGAGTATTGTTACCAGGTGAGTAATTGGCCAACTCACAGGTAAGAAGAAAAAACCTTTAAAAGCTTGAAAGAAGTCCCAATGACTAATTAGTGGCTAATTGGCACTCGGGAATTTAAGCAAAGGAACAAAAGGAATTTTAAACTAAAACTAAAGCCTTAAAAGGAACCTTTCACCGGGACTTAAAATTGGATTTGGATGAAATTAAAATAAGACAAGAAAAAAGGAGATAGAGAAGTATTCTTTAAACAACAAAAGGATTTAATTCGGAGAAGAGGAAATAATCATTTTTATGGATTTACAAAGGGATATTTTGTGGCTGCAGGATTTGTGAATTGGAGAGAGAGATCTGCTGGTGGAAAGAAAGTATCATACTAAACTTATATCGTGAGAAAATTCTGGAAGTACTGTAGGAGTGTTTTGTTTATATAACTAGAACGTGATTGCAAGAGGAGCATGGAGAACAAAGACAGAAATTGGAATGGCTCAAAGGAATGTTTGAATTGGACGCTATCTGGAAAGATAAAAAAGAAAAAAGAGACACTACATGGACTTTGAATATGAATTATATGTAAAGGAATAATAAACTTAAAAATCCTTGCCTTTTAAATTAATAACCTGGAGAATTGGGAAGGAAATAAATGAAAATAAAGATACAGATGATTACACTGG